ACATAATTTTTCTATTGAGGACATTTCAATATTCTTATCTAATATGCATATCTTTCTCCAATAAAATACAATTCTCACTACAGAGATGTTTCTTTTAGATTTTTTCCTTATTTAGCATCTTTATGACAAACATTACGTGTGTTATTACAGATATACTTCTTTAAAGATATTAGTAATTATGCAGATTTATTCTACAATGAGTATTGTTTACTTTTGTAGTTGAAGAAAAATGGTGACAGTAAAGTAAGTTTCTTTTACATGAAAATGTACGCTGTTTCTCGTTCAACAATATTTATACATACGTGTATTCGCCCACGTAGGGGTACAAGTCACGTCACCCAAAGTGACTTGCCTTCTATTATCCCGTCTGCGGCCCTGCGATTTCTGGGCGTAGACCCGCAAGCTTTGGATGTTGGCAAAACAATAGACATTAACAGAACTCTCATAGCCACTTTCATATCGAAATATTTTGGTAAGTAATACGTTGTATCCATTTAGCCAGGAACTATTTAAAAAATACTCCCATGAAACAGTTTCTTGTATGATTATAAAAATGTATAATTGATAGAAAAAGTTAATTTGTGCTTTTCGTGGACACTAGGCAAGCGCTGGCAACAGCTAAAAAGTCAGGTGTATGGCTTTACATACACGTTTTAGCACACATGCATGTTTTCTATCAAACAATTTTACGCAAAGCGGTTCTCCCCTAAGGTCACCTGTTTTAATTCTCAGGTTAGATGTCGTTTCCCCATGCGACACTGTGTGCATCAAGTTTTTTAAAATATTTTTCCAGAACTTGGCAAAGAATCGGTGACTCGAAAATATTGACAGAGGATTCCGAACACGTGATCATAGGAAGCAATGTTGAAGTTTAATCTAAAATTACTCACAATAATGATATCATAAAAATGACTACTGTATGTATTCATACGAATAAGAAATTTCATATATGCTAAACTATGTGCGCATAATTTAATTCATACACTTATCATTGATTCGAAGTGTTCACTGAGAACTTGCACTAAGAGATTTCCATAATTTTGCGCACGGTATGATCATTATCAATCGTGGTATGTTCCTTGTTTATTCTTACAATCTTACAATGATCGGCAATTATTAGGACGTATGTAGCTAATTTCAACTATAGACTAGAGCTAGTTTTATCAACTATAGACTAGAGCTAGTTTCATCAACTATAGACTAGAGCTAGTTTCATCAACTATAGACTAGAGCTAGTTTCATCAACTATAGACTAGAGCTAGTTTCATCAAATATAGACTAGAGCTAGTTTCATCAACTGTAGACTAGAGCTAGTTTCATCAACTATAGCTAGAGCTAGTTTCATCAACTATAGACTAGAGCTAGTTTCATCAACTATAGACTAGAGCTAGTTTCATCAACTATAGACTAGAGCTAGTTACATCAACTATAGACTAGAGCTAGTTTCATCAACTATAGACTAGAGCTAGTTTCATCAAGATGCCACATTCGAAGGAGTGCCCATTCAACTAAGGAGATTATTTTCTCATCTGCGACCTATTTTGTTGTTATTTGATCAAGAAATCTAAAACAGATGCAGCTGCATAAGATCTGGCAACATTGGTAGACTTGACGAGTTTCAAGAATTGGTTACTTCATCGTAGCATTCAACACTGTTCTCAACTGACATGTCCTCGCTCGTACCATTAATCGCAAATATCTTTCCACAATATAAGGCCACGGCAGGCAACCACGTGGTCGACTCATGGACGTCATCGTTTCCCACGTGTCAGTAGCATGGTTGTACCGCTCGACCGAAGATAGAGAACCATGGTACTCGTTAACTCCACCGACAACATAAATGTAGTTCGATAACTGAACAGCGCCAAAATCACATCTTTGATACGTCATCGAGGCTTTGCTCTCCCATTGGTCAGAATTTGGTGAATAACTTTCGACAGATGAGATATAGCCCAGATCATCATCAAATCCGCCCACGGCATACAGACTTTCATCCAGCGGTACAAGGGCAAACCGTCGTCTCTTGTGCGTCATATTAGATACTTTAGTCCACCTGTCTATCACAGGGCAGTACTTTTCGACGTAGCTGAAAAAGCATTTAAACAGGCATCATTCTTAAAAGTTACTACCCAACCTGGTATAAAGTCATTTATCACATTTCATTCTCCTTTCGTTTACCTGCATGTATTTTGACGGCTACGACCCTCCAGCAACATAAATATTCCCGTTGAGGGCAGCAGCCTTCACCTCACCACAGCAAATGACAAGGTGAGCAACATTCTTCCACTTTCCCAGAAAGATGTCATAACATTCAACAGAGTTCAACTTGGTTTTCCTTTGAATGCCACCAATCACGTACAACTTCCTGTCAAGTACTACCACGGCGCATGAAACGCGAGTGCTTGGCAGCTTCGCACCCTTCCATTTTATGGTTTGACAATCGAAGTACTCTATGGACCTTGTCTCCTTCATAAAAGACCTTTCACCGCCGAGAATATACAGCCAAGAAGAGCAAGATGGTCTCATCGATATTCCGGCACATTCACAATGACAGAACATGGCTTTCTCTATCACGTTTTGCAAAGCTAAATCGTCCTGGATAAGTGACCTTCGAGAGATCTCGCGCAGCTTTTTCGGAGGTATAAAACACAATTTGACAGCGGTCAACAAAATTGCTATCATCTTCCGTCTTGCTTGCATGTCGGTCTCAACCCATTCAAAAATGAATTGCAATAATTGAAATTCGCTGTCGATGCAAATATCATCACTCTTGATGATGGATTTCAGGCACATGGCATCCAAACTCAAAATCTCACCATATTTCGAGACGGCTGCAAAGTTCTTTTTCATAAAAGATTCTGCTTTTTGACTTAGTTGCATACATGAGAATCTTTCAGCCAGTTGGTAAATCCCAAGACAATTTTCTGTCACCAGTTGGTCCATGAGGTAATGTGCGCAAGTTTCTTTAACGTCAGCAAAACCAAGAAGGTCTGCCGCTTGTAGTAGATCCTCGACATTCTCATCCGTGATGATGATCTTACCCGTGTAACAATAATCGAGAAGTAAAGCCATCGAATCACTTGTGACACCTTTGATATTTACCTAATTGAGGTAAATTTATATATTTTAGAAGGAAATATCTTACATTTTAAGGAACTTACTCTTTCGTGAGGGAAGTGTAATTTTGAGCAACAACTGTACGAGTTACGGTCCAATCCAAAGACCGGAAAATTTGTAAATAAGCGGAATTTAAGTGTCGTTCATATTATTGGATCATTCTGGTAAAATTCATTGACGACTGAACATTTATTACTTTTAAATTTTAATGAGCTTTTTGCCCTTGAAATACGTTTTGCTCGGACTTTGAACGCGGAATGAAAGCAAGTTAAATAGAGTGATATTCAGTGCAACATAAAATAAAACAAGCCTTACTTACTTCGGCTTGATGTTTTTCACTCATATCATCACTAAACATGGCTCTAAAATAAGCACTTGACGAAACCAGCACTGCCTTGTGTACAGTGAAATTGTCGTTGTCAACATGAAGAACGACATCACAAAACTCCCATTTTCATAAGTTCATGCAAGTTTGATAGCACCTTTGTTGCAAAACGAGCCTCCACGTTAGCTTTCAAATCGCACTCCAATTTTTCTTGGCTATTTCCAGCCATTTCTAAAGAATCAATAACATTTCATTATTCATCGTATCGAAACCAATTTTATCAGTTCCCGCTAGCAATAAACCTTGCTATTTGCTAAAATTTATTAAAACTTTACAACGTCACCACATTTTTCTTTACCTCAAAAAAAGAATTTCAAAAAGTTAATCCTCAACAAAAAGAAACTCGACACAATTTCTGATAATGTAAACCGGGTCCTAAATAGACAAACATTGAAAAATTATAATAAATCGCACTAATTTCTAATTATTGCAAAAATTGTCTTCAATAGTAAGAAAAATAACAATTACCTAAATTCGTAAAACTAAAAAATACATTTTAAGCAAATGCTCTTCCATTCTATCATGTTTGTCATAGTCTTTGCTGTCACTAATTCACAATTCTCAATATTTATTTGCATTATGTATTTCCATAACGACATGACGACACGAAGTTGTTACCACGACAACAATAACATGACGTAGAGGCTTAGATCCAATCTTCCAGCTGCGCGACAAATTATTCAAACGTAATGTATTAAGATATTTTGCGAAGTGATTGAAAACGTCAACTAAAACTCAAGTAAATAATCACAACGAAGAAAAACATAACCGCTGCTTTTTTCAAAGGTTAAGCTTTAACTATGGGTGCCGCTCTGGGAGCCATTGGTGGACTGAGCTGTTGCTCCTTAACTTCGTGTGCTGCTCCAGTAAGTATGGAAAGTAATAGGAAATGGAAAAAATCAGGAAAACTTATGTTGATCGAACATCAACTTGTTTTTCTCATTTTATAATGATTAAAATTGTCCTTTACAATTATGTAATGCTTGTACAATCCATATGGTGATACTTGACCGACTTTTGTCTTCATAAATTGAATCGTAATAAGATGTTGAAATTCGAGTTCTTAAAATCTTAATACTTCATTCAGTTTTACGCGTAAATAAATGATTTATCTTGCTGTGTTACAAGGCTGCCTTCTGCTGTGGTCCATCTGCTTGTTTTTGTTGTTGTTCACGATGTCCACCATGCAAGAACTCAACATCAACAAGAATTGTCTACAGTTTCTTTTTATTTCTTGGAAGCATTGTCTCTGGTATCATGTTGACTTCTGGTATCAAGGAAAAACTTAGGGAAATTCCATACTTGTGCAGTGATGAATGCCCCGCCAACAGTTTGGTTGGTTACACAGCAGTATACAGAGTTTGTTTTGGCATGGCTGCCTTTTTCTTTCTGATGACTTTAATGATGATCAATGTTCAAAGTAGTAAAGATGGAAGAGCAAAATTTCAGAATGGGTTGGTATTGCATAATGATGTAATGTAATGTAGTGAACTTT